GGCCCGGCCCCGGCCCCCCGGGGGCGGCGGTGCGTCCGCCTCGGCTCCAGGTACGGGCGACCCTCGTTGGGCGCTGGGCTTAGGCAGCCGCTGTCGCAAGAGCTTGGGACCCTACTCCGGACCCGCAGAGCTTAGAGGTCTGGCTCCTCTCCATCCTCTCTACTTGGGCGGCCCCTAGGTTCACCTCTTTCTGGGAAGAGGGGTGGGAGAAGGGGCTCCATAGCGACCAAGGCCTCCGTGCGTGGGGGTGCTCCTCGCTCAGATTTTGCTCCTCTGCCTGGCCCAGGGAGGGAGATGCACCTCCCATCAAGAGCTGCCCTCCCCTGGAGTTTGCATAGATAAATCTCAAGTGCGACAGGGTGGGCTTGCGGGAAGCTAGGACGAGGGTCTGGCCAGGCTTGCAGTGCTCTAGGCAAAGCCCCGGTGTGGATGATCCAGAATTCCGAGCTCTGGGAGCACCACATCCCCGGGGGCCCAGGCGGTCTCCTAGCTCTCTGCTAGTCACTGAAGGACACCCAGGACGGTTATTGAGTGCAGAGCAGGGCTGCTGTTGGAAGCTAAAAAGGGAAAGCTTTGGCCTGGATAAGGGACACATCTCCCAGGGCACTCATGGGTCTCAGGATCTCACAGCAGTATGTCTGGAGGACACAGGGGTGCGGCCTCTGCGCTTCCACATCAGCGGGAGATGTGTGCAGGCAGCAGGCCCCCTCCCTCCCTCCCTTCTTGGGCAGGGATGGCTTTGCTGACTGCGAGTTGGGGTGGGAGCCTGCCACAGACAGGCCGGGCAGGGGGGCAGGCTGCCCCGGGGGCCCTATTCTCAGGTGCCAGCCCCCATCCCTGGGCATTTCCAGGCCACGGCCCAGGAGGACGTGGAGAACCCACCCGTGGTCCTAGGGGAGCCCGAGAGACAGCAGAGAGTGCAGCAGCTGGTAAGTCCCAGGTCAAGGGCTGGAGGCGACCAGCTATGGGCAGGTCTGCCTTCCCACATGAGGAGCCCTTGGTTCTGACCCCACAGGAGTCAGAGCTCAGCAAGAAGCGAAAGAAATGTGAGAGCCTGGAACAGGAAGCCCGGAAAAAGCAGAGGCGATGTGAAGAGCTGGTGAGCTCCCCAGGGTCTCCCCAGGGCCAGCCAGGTGGTGGGCTCCCTCTCAGCTCTGCTCTCACCCCTCGTATCCTTCGGGGCTCTCCTGCCCTGCCTGGCACAGGGTCCAGGTTGGGGGAGGAAGGCCTTGTCTGGGAGGGCCAGGTCCTCTGTGTGGGGAGAGGAGGTGTGGGGGTGCTGGGCCCCCTCCCCAGAGCTCCCCTGGTTTCTCAGGAACTGCAGCTGAGAGAAGCCCAGAATGAGAATGCCCGCCTCGTGGAGGAGAACTCTCGGCTCAGTGGGAGAGCCACAGAAAAGGAGCAGGTAGCCACTCTGTGCATGTGCTGTGGGGCCTGGGCTTCTGCTGGAGCCCTGGGCCCTGGGCACGGGGCTGTCTTCTCCACCCCCTGCACTGGGCTAGAGTGTGAAGGGTTCTGCTCCCCTGGCCAGGGAGCTGCGGGGACAAGGCGGACACACCTAGCTCCCTGCCCCTCCCCCCTGTCCAGGTGGAGTGGGAGAATGCAGAGCTGAGGGGCCAGCTCCTGGGGGTGACGCAGGAGAGGGACTCGGCCCTTCGCAAGAGCCAGGGCCTGCAGAGCAAGCTGGAGAGCCTGGAGCAGGTGCTGAAGGTGAGGAGACTATGGACGTGGCGGGAGGGTCTTGGTCCCTGGCACAAGGAGAAAGTGGTAGAATGTGTCCTATGTGGGGCACTGGGGTCTGAGGTCCAGTCCCGGTGCCGCCAACCCCTATGCTTCTCTGGCCTCGGTTTCCTTTTTAACAGAGGGTATCTGGAACCCATAGGGTCTGAGGCTCGCTCACCTTAGAGCTACAGAAACGGTGGTGGGGGGCCCTGGCCTTGACCCAGGGTCTTGTGTTTTAGCACATGCGGGAGGTGGCCCAGCGGAGGCAGCAGCTGGAGGTGGAGCATGAGCAGGCCCGGCTCAGCCTGCAGGAGAAGCAGGAGGAGGTCCGGAGGCTGCAGCAGGTGGGGGCCGGGGGAGGGAAGGGTGGTAGGCCGCCGGAGCCCTCGGTCATCCACTCGCCCCATGAGCTTTTCCTGAGCACCCGCTGAGTACCAGGTTCTGTGCCAGGCACTGGGGGACAGTGGTGGGGAAAGAACAGTTCCCAGACCAAGCAGCAAATAAGCAGATGCTCGAGTGAGACGACCCTGGTCACTGATGGGCCCAGCGGGGGACGTGAACAGGGTGATGTGACAGAGTGACTGGGATGGGGCCATGGGCCAGTTTAGAGAGGCCGGTAGGGAAGGCCTCTAATACCTTAAGGGTGAGAAGGAGCCCGCTGAAGAGCGCTCCAGGTGGGAAAATCTAAGTGCAAATGCCCTGTGGCAGGAAAGAGTGTGGGGTCCAGACCAATGTGGCTAGAATACAACCACAGGAATTAGGCAAGAGCCAGATCTTGTCAGGCCTTAAAGAAGAGTTTGGATATTTTGTTCTCTGAGCTGTTGGAAGGTCCCAAGCGGGGAGATAGCATGATCTGATTTGTCATACTAGAAGATCGCTTGAGCAGCACTATGGAGTGAGGGGCTGGCGGGGGGGGTGGGCGAGGAGGCAGGTGGTCGGTCAGGTGTTGGGGCTGCTGCAGGAGATGATGTCCACCTGAACTAGGGTGCAGGCAGGGCAGGTGGAAAGGGGGAAGATTTGAAATATATTTTGGAGACAGAATTGACAAGGCTCCATAGGATTCTAGTAGAGCTTCTGCTCCTTTCAGTCCACCCTGAGGGACAGCCCTGAGGAGGTGAAAGATGAAGGGGCAACAGACGTGAGAGTTAGGGAGTCCCGAGTCCTGAGTTCGATTTTGGTTGAGTTTGGGTTGTGTGTTAAACATACAAGTGGACATGTCCATAGACAGTTGGATCTGCGGGTCTGGAATCATGGGGAAGTTGATCATGGAGATTTCGGAGTCATCAATGTGTCCAGTCATGTGACTAGATGGGACCCCTTGGGAGAGAGTGAAGAGTGTAAAGTGGGCCCAGCCCTGTGCCCTATGACACCCTAACATTTAAAAAAGATAAAAGGCAGGGAGCAGGTGAAGGAGGCTGAGAAGGAGCGTCCCAAGAGGTAGGAGGGAAACCCAGAGGGTGGATGTCCCAGAAAGAGAGCAGCAGTATCAGCCCTGCTTCTCCTTGACACCGTGATCTTCTGACCTGAGGTATGGTTCTGGGGTGGGAATTTGGGAGGGCGGGGAGGAGAACCCTCAGCCTCCCCCTTCCCAGCTCCCCTTTCCTCTTCTTCTCCCCCCCTTCCCCTCTTTTCTTCCCTCCCTTTGCCCCTGCTGCCCCTCCTCTATCCGTCTCCCTCTATCCCCTCCCCTGGTCCTCATCCTTTCCCTCCAACATTTTGCTTCCTCTTCCCTGTAGGCCCAGGCAGAAGCCAAGAGGGAACATGAAGGGGCCGTGCAGCTGCTGGAGGTAGGGTCCCTGCAGGTGACCAGTGGCAGCACCAGTTTGCGGGGGAAGGCAAGGAAGTTCAGAGAGAGCTGGAATGGACTCTGTGGGTATGGGGGCTGTGGGGTTGCAGGAAGGGCCTTTAAATGCTCCAGAGCCTAGGGAATCCCCTCCACCATTGGCCTACTTCTCAGGCAAGGGCACCACTGGGCAGGGGCTCCTGGGTCTGGTGGCAGCAGTCTCCCCCACTGCCACCCACCCCCAGAGGCCGCCTTCACCCTGAAATATCCTTCCATTTAGGAACTGCCCAGTCAGTCCAGGGAGCCAACCAGGTAGTGTCCACTTGGGCCCTTTCTCCCTCCCTCCCTTTCTGTGCAATGACCTGCAGGGTGAGCGGTTCTAACCTGTTCTCTGTGCTTTCCTTTCCTGCCACAGTCGACCCTGGATTCCATGCAGGTACAGCCCCCCGCCCCCGCCCCCCACCTCCCTGGGCTGTCCCCTCCCCTCCACCTCTCCAGGCTGGCTGAGCTGCGTCTCCTTCCTCAGGTCCAAGTGGCCCCAGCTCTCATGTCCAACAGAGGAGGGTGTGACTGGTAGCAGAGACCCAAGAACGTGTAGATGGGCTGGGATTCCTGCAGGACATGTGGGCCACCTCCTCGACCCAGACCTGCCACAGTGCCTGGCAGACACGGGGCCGTCCCTCCTCTAAAACCTAGCCACTCAGACCATGAGGAAGTTCATCACCAGTCTAACCCAGGATCCTCTTGATCTTGGCCAGGGGAGAGGCCCCAGATGTTGGGACTCTCCTGAAACCTGAGAAAAAATTCTTTGAGCGTTGGCTCCTTCCTGCCACAAAGATGTCCCTAGCTCCTGTGTGGGATCTCTCTTGAGGGTAGGGATTTGGGTCACTGACTGTGGGAGGGTGACAAGCAGCAGAGCCGAGGAGACTCCTGAGGAGGGACCGGAAGTGGAGCTGGGAGTGGGCGCCATGCCTTTTGGCCTAGAAGCAGCTGGAAGCAGGAAGTGCCACTGCCTGGGGTGTGAGGCTGTGCTGAGTGGGAGGCGGGCCCCCCACAGCCCTGGTACTTCACCCCCCGCTCAGACACTATTAAGGCAGTGGGGCAGCGAGGCTGAGGGCTGGTGCCTGGGCCTGGGGCTGGGCGGATATGAGCTGAGGCCTGCTCTGGGCTCCTCCCGTGTGGACATGGCACAGGATGGGACCAGGCAGCTTTGCTGGGCCTGGTGGCTCAGGGGAGGTCTTGGCCCAGGTCCGGGTTCGAGAGCTGGAGGAGCAGTGCCGCACCCAAACAGAACGCTTCAGCCTCCTGGCACAGGAGCTCCAGGCCTTCCGCCTGCACCCTGGCCCCTTGGATCTACTCACCTCTGCCCTGGGCTACAGTACCCTTGGGGACCACCCCCCACCCCCCTGCTGCTGCTCTACTCCCCAGCCCTGCCGGGGATCCGGCCCCAAAGGTAAGGTGGACCCCAGTGACATTAGTCTGGAATCCCCAGGCCTGGAGCTTTTGTATAGAGCAGAGCGTTCCGAGTCAGAGAAGGCTAGCAGCTCACCCGAAGTCACACAGCAAGTTAGAGCCAGGCATGGCTGGAACGAGGCTCTGACAGGGGAGAAATGAGCTCACAGGAGTGGCTCTCCTGGAGTCTGGCCAGGCGTCTCGGCCACTGCTCCTCTCCTCCAGCAAGACTGTGTGGTCATGGCTAGGCGCTGGGCCCTAGGACCCAGCAGCTGACGGGATGGGCTTGTGAAGAGCTGGGCCAGGCATCAGTCAGATCCAGGGGCCCCAGCCCCCTCTCACTTACCAGCCCACCTGATTTTGAGCATGCTGCTAAACCTCTGTGGGCTCTGGTTTCCTAAGCTCTAAGACGGGAAAAATTCAGTGCACCTCAATGAGCTGCTCTGAGGATCATGTGAAATAATATATGTAAATCACCTCCACCTCTATGTAGTAAGATTTCCCTCTTAGAAGTGGCTGTGGAGGGCCTAACCTCCCTATCGAGCGGCCCCATCCTTGCTCCCTAGTCCCTCCTCAGGCCACAGACCCCACATGCCATCTTCTCTTTTTTTTTTTTTTAAAGATTTTTTATTTATTTATTTGAGAGAGAGAATGAGAGAGAGAGAGCACATGAGAGGGGGGAGAGTCAGAGGGAGAAGCAGACCCCC